ATCACTCACCACACAACCAAGAATGTTTTATCAACTCAAAATCCACAAAGATTAATAAAATAATATCAAAGATCAAATAAAATTTTTAATCATTCAAAATAAGATGAATGAGAAAAATAATCCTTCGAATCTAATTCGCACTGTCACTTCAGTCCGTATCTAAACACACACTAAACACTTCACAAAATCACTTGCACTGAGTCCCGCACTTTGTATTTTCACTGTTCACAGGCAGCGCCGGTTTTTTGCGCTCACTAGGACCCCGATATTAACGGAATTGAAGTACGCGACGCGGGACTAGTTGCTCGACGCGCGGTCGCGGAACGACTGACTCCCCACTGAAAATGGCAGGGGGTTGGAGTCGGCGCTCGAGTGGGGAGGGGGGTCCCCCGGCGATACTCCCCGCATGCGCACAGAGCACCCCGCATGCGCACAGCAGACCGCTCAAGTGGGGGGTTGCCAGGCGATACTCCGTGCATACGCACACACACCGTGCATGCGCACAGAAACCGCGGGCAGTCTCAATTTGACGAGATAAGATAATTGCGAAAATTCTTAATCTAATAAATAATTCTCTCTTAAAAAAAACAGTGCAATCACGTAAAATCCAATAGTCAGTGAAAAATAATTGATTGAAGAGAATTTAGCGTGTGGATTTCGGTCTTGACCATCAAAACCAGTCGACAGGGTGAATATTATTTTTTGCGTTACGAAATTGGTATTCACTGAAATTGGAAAATTCGAAATTTTTGGGAAAGTATCAGGGGAACACGAAAAGAGTGAATACCTCCTCGATTTTCATACTCCCCTTATACTTTTTTGAAAATTTAAAATTTTTCAATTTCAGTGAATACCTTCTCAATTGTTATGCTCTCTTGATACTTTTTCAAAAATTTTGAATTTTGGAATTTCAGTGAATACCTCTGCCATTTTCATGTTCCCCTGATAGTTTTTTGAAAATTTTGAATTTTCAAATTTCAGTGAATATGCTCATGCTCCCTCGATACACTTTTGAAAATTTCAAATTTTTCAATTTCAGTGAATATCTCCTCGATTCTCATGCTCCCCTGATATTTTTTTGAAAATTTAGAATTTTTCAATTTCAGTGAATACCTCCTCAATTGTCATGCTACCTTGATACTTTTTGAGTGTGGCGCCCTCCCTCTCTCAGGGTGCAGTACTACGATGCCGCTGGAGTCAGTCAAACCCCCAGAACTGACCCTCTACTTTACTCAATCCTCTTTGCGTCCTACGACCCTCGCCGATTCCTCGAATGTGTTTACGTTTTTCCACTCATTTTTCTCCGCTTTTTGTATTAAATATTTAATTAGCCCCTGTCAGTGTCACTGATAAACAACAACTAGATAACATTAATCATGGATTTCGGTGATGTCCAAGCGAGACAGAATCGGGTGAAGGACGAGATAGGATCGCATTGTCAGAGGCTGTTCCAAAGTTTCTTGGAGGAGTGAGTATTATTTCTTGTCTTCCTGAGTTTAATTAACAAGTTTGAGATTAAGATTGTGATTGCTTTGGTGCAGATATAAAGAAGACGAGGAAGTCAAGTATTTGGAGCCTGCCAAAGAGCTGGTGAGCCCAGAGCGGAGTACCTTGGTGGTATCCTTCGATGATATCGAGAGATACAATCAAGCCCTTGCAACGACAATAATCGAAGAATATTATAGGTAAAATTCACTTTAGCAACGAAATTGGCATTTTAATCCACTGATAATTCATTCACGATGCTATCATCCCCCAGGATCTATCCCTTTCTCTGCCAAGCAGTCTGGAACTTCGTGAAAGACGCGGGGGAATTGAAAAAAGAGAAAGAGTGCTACATCAGTCTAGTTGACGTACCAACAAGACACAAACTCCGAGAATTGACAACTTCCAAGATCGGTACACTCATTCGAATATCAGGACAGGTCGTCAGGACCCACCCTGTCCACCCTGAACTCGTGTCTGGTACATTCGTCTGCGTTGATTGCAATGCAGTCATCAAAAATGTTGAGCAACAGTTCAAAGTAAATATTATGGTTTAAAAAAATCCTAGATTTTCCTGAAGAAATTGTATAATTGGGATAATAATTCGAATTACTCTCAGGTTTTGAAACAAAAAGATTGAATCACAACTCGATCAAATGTTTTTTTTACTCATTAGTTCACAAATCCCACGATTTGCAACAACCCAGTGTGCCTCAACCGTCGGAGATTCGTCCTGGACGTGGACAACTCAATTTTCGTGGACTTTCAAAAAGTGAGAATACAGGAAACACAGTCTGAACTACCCCGAGGATGTATTCCCCGTTCCCTTGAAATTATTCTACGAGCCGAGGCAGTGGAGACTGTCCAGGCAGGCGACAGGTACCATAAACTTAATGACACGATTATAAAAATTAATGGCTTGTAAAACGAATTATTCAAACGCAGATACGACTTCACGGGGACTTTAATCGTTGTTCCTGACGTTGGTGCACTAGCATTGCCTGGGACCAAAGCAGAAATCAGTTCGAGACATAAAGCTGGAGATCAGGGGGAGGGAGTGAGAGGGCTGAAAGCACTTGGAGTACGAGAGTTGAATTATCGCCTGTCTTTTCTCGCGTGCAGCGTAACAGCCACAAGCTTGAGGGTAATCCAACAATAAAATCTTCTACAATTTAAAAGATAGATTCACAATTCGATCGTAAAATACCCTCCAAAAAAGTCCTCTAAATTTCCACCAGGAATTCATTATTAATAAAATTTCTCTTCCAGTTCGGAGGCACAGAGATGGCAATGGAGGAGATATCCCAGGAGATGATGAAACGTCAAATGACGGAATCAGAATGGAACAAAGTGTATGAGATGTCACGGGACAAAAACCTCTACGACAATTTGGTGGCGAGTCTGTTTCCCTCGATTCATGGAAACGACGAAGTAAAGAAGGGAATAACTCTGATGCTCTTTGGTGGTGTACCAAAGACAACAATGGAGGGCACAAGCCTCCGAGGTGACATTAATTGTTGCATAGTGGGTGATCCCAGCACAGCAAAATCCCAACTCCTGAAACAAGTGGCAGACATATCCCCAAGGGCTGTCTACACATCGGGAAAGGCGTCATCAGCAGCTGGTCTGACAGCAGCAGTTGTTCGTGACGAGGAGTCAGGTGATTTTGTAATCGAGGCTGGAGCCCTGATGTTGGCAGACAACGGTATCTGCTGCATCGACGAGTTCGACAAAATGGATCCCAAAGATCAAGTGGCCATCCACGAGGCAATGGAGCAGCAAACAATTTCGATAGCAAAGGCTGGAGTGCGTGCAACCCTCAACGCAAGAACGAGCATCTTAGCAGCTGCCAATCCCATTGGCAGCAGATACGACAGATCAAAGTCTCTCCAGCAGAATGTGATGCTGACTGCCCCCATCATGTCTCGATTCGATCTCTTCTTCATTCTCGTTGATGAGTGTAATGAAGTAGTGGACAATGCGATAGCCAAAAAAATTGTTGATCTTCACAGCAACAATGCCCTGACCATTGACACCATCTACGATCAATCCGAGATCCTCAGGTACATTAATTTCGCAAAACACTTCAAACCCTCGATAAATCCTGACGCCGCTGAGCTCCTGGTGGAGAGCTACACAGTTCTGAGGCAGAGAGAGGGTATGGGCAGTGGAAAATCCACGTGGAGGGTCACTGTAAGACAGCTGGAGAGTCTGGTGAGGCTCTCCGAGGCCCTGGCAAAGCTCGAGTGTGCCGACAAGGTCACTGTGAGGCACGTCAAGGAGGCCAGGAGGCTATTGAGTAAAAGTATCATCAGGGTTGAACAGCCTGACATCGATCTTGACGACCAGAACGTCAGAGCCAATGGAATGGATCTCGACGATGCACCTCCTCTCATGGAGGCCCTCAATGCTCTCGATGCTGAAACCAATGGCCACGAGGAGCAGGAGGAGGAGGGAATCCCCAAGAAGAAGCTTACAATGTCATTCGAGGAGTACAAAAGTCTCAGCAACATGTTGGTGTTGTACATGAGAAATAAAGAGAGTGGTGCCGAGGGGGATGACGAGCCTGGCATCAGAAAATCAGAGCTCGTTGCCTGGTACTTGGATCAGATTCAGGATCAAATCGACTCGGAGGAGGAGTTACTCGAGAGGAAGGGAATTGTCGAGAAGATTATTGATCGGCTGACTTATACGGTGAGTTTTATTCACTTGAGAGAAAATTATTTTATCAATGAGAGAAAAACAATTCAGAATTCAATTCAATTCATAATAGTTGAAGTTTCATTCACTGTTGATCGTTTTTTCATCGATTAACCAAACATCGAGAAAAATAAAAAAATGAAAAAATAATAAATGCACCTGAAGAGGAATGCTTTCAACTTTTGAAACTTGTGCAGTTTAATCTGCTAGATTGATCTTCTTTTAAATGTTATAATCAACATCAATAAAGAATTTGACCGATTACAATCACCGAAACTCATTAATTAAATAGTTTATTAATTCGTGGATATTTTGCAGGATAATATCTTCATCACCCTCGCAAATCGAGAGCTACAAGAGGGTAGAGCCGACGACGAGGAAGATCCCATGCTCGTGGTCCATCCCAATTACGTTCTCGATATTTAATGATCGATCAATCGTTATTCAATATCATTTTGTTATACTCATTATTTCTACCGCCACAATTTTTACAACGAAATCCACAAAAAATAAGTAAATAAAAACATTCACTCAGGAATTTAAATGATTTCACTCAATTCCCAATTCCTTCAGGTAATTGTTCTACGAACGTACTAATTAGAACAACCTAATGAGGCATTGGAATAGGTCAGGGCGCTAATCAAAGGCCAACATCTGCCCTAGTTTATTATTCCCATCAAGAGCAGGTGGAAAATAAAATTTCAAGTTTAATCAATCAGCAATCATTTGCTTCTCGAACGATCCACTGATAAATTGATTGCCCAATTAATTCCCCCCATGGTCTCACTATTGAAAATTTGTCGGTGGAATGAATAGTGGAATGCCATTGGGTTGGGGCATACTCATAATTAATATTATCTCGTCTTTACCTCATGTTACCATAGATAAGACTACCGTACACATTGTCCAGTATTTGTTAATAATTTTTTATGCGGTCAACTTGTCGCAATTATTCTCGGTTTCACAGCCCTTTATTTATCAGATAATCAATACCATTCGATCCCACGCCTCTGCATCATCCATTTATCAACCCCATCTATTTATTATCCTACTCCCGCACTAATTAGCGTTAGCTAAATAATTGATCATTAAAATCGTCCGGGCGCTAATGCCCGCATGTGGCCTACATTATTATTCAAGATGCCGTTTAGAAAGTCTCGGTAGTAATCTCATAGTGGGGGAGGTATCAATAACATATGATTGGTTTTTTGTCGATTAAAAATCAATCAGTCGAGTATCATCTCCAGTGGTACCTGAGGAGACATGTCATCCAGGAGTTCTGAGTCCGATGAATCCCTCAAGGTAATCCAAATTTGAATTTTCACTCATTGGTGTAATGATACGTATCGGATTTATTTTTCAAGGCCGAATGTGAAAGATGAGATTTTTTCCTGTTGCATCACTTCAGCTAGAGATAATTGAAGAATTGTTGTAAAAAATATTTACATTCTATCAATAGAATTTTTTGGTTTTCGGGGATTTCCCGAAACGAAATCAATGGAATCACTCAGGATCATTTAGAATTATTTAGGAATATTCAGGATTTATTAGGAATTATTTAATTATTGAATCGAATGAATGAGTACGAATTTCGATTTTATCAATTAATACAGCGGAATAAAAAATGGGCTGTTTTTATGGGAGACATTTCAATGATGAAAGATGCCATATCCAGGAGAAAAATGGGCAAGAGGCACTCGATTATGTGGAAATTTTTCGGTGGAGTTGACGCAGGTGTCAGAGGAGTTGGACAGGTACTGTATCCTCACTTATCTGATGCAGAATCCTTCATTGATCCATCTGATTCAGGTGGTGTTTGCTAACAATCCTGTCAGCGGTTTGCTCATCGTAATTACTCTCGGATTAACTGCTCCCAATGTATTGCTGTTTGGATCTATCACAGGAGTTCTCGGGTTAATTATCTCTCACGTGAGTCAATGCGTCAATTTTGCAAAACAGTCCTGAGATCCGTGGGATTTTTTTTAGATCATTCAAGATCCCGGATCGGTCATCGAAAATGGATTGACTGTGTACAATCCTCTGCTCATTGGAGTTGTAACTAGTTCCTTGTTACCGGAAAAGTCCAGCACTTTTGATGGACTCACTACTCTCATGATGTTTACCGGAACAATCTTCAGGTGATCATCTAGACTTTTCTCTCTCAATTAACTTGGATTTTTTAATTAAGGCCCAGGTGGACTATCTATCGAATGTCATCTTTTGTTAAGGGCCGGATGGAGTATCTCGGAAAGATAATTTA